CAACAACAAACAAAAAACAAAAACAAAAACAAAAAATTAAGAAAATTATATAAATAAATATACACACAAATGAAACCAAACTTCTCATATAGGTAGGACAATGCCCACTTTTGGTGGAGGTCACGATTTCTGGAAACCCCTGAAATCTGGGTTAGCCCGCATGTCCTTAAAAGAGACCAATTGCAACACTTCGGCTACGGAGTAGGACAATAGAGTCAACTTTGTTTACTTTTTGTTTACTTTTTAATAAGAGTTTCACAACGCTTGCAACACAAATCGGCCACATCACTAAAACGTGCCGAAGATTATAGGTGTATCATATACAGTTAGGAGAGCAACATGCAAACAAACGTAGGGGAGATAGGACGATAGGTCTTTGCTGGGAAAGAAGGAGCAAACCACCGAATATAAACCAACTGGATTGTACATGATTTAATTCACTAAACTCCATTTTGTGGGTGGTTGGCGGGTGCCATTGCTGCTTCGAAAGACAGATGGAAGTGGAGGTCCATGATCGCCCACGCCAGTCGGCAAGGCACCGGATGATGATGATGAACACCTCTACTCTTCTGGACTCAAATGACCTTCCTTATGCAGTACTGTTACGTGCGCCATAAAACCTCTACTAAAACTAAAACTCTATTTTCTCTTTTGATCATTAGTTTGTGTACGACAGCCTCTCTAATACTGCCACAGACATACAAACATTAAAGTAAAGACAACACTGTGCCTGCGATAGCAGTACCATTTTTGGGCGGGCACATGACAATAAAAAGCACAATTTGAATGAACCCTTGGATTAGGTAATCCAACACGTTTCACTTAGATGTGAATGCATGCATAGCATTCTTTTGATCTATACAGATGGGATTTCACGCCTCGTTCAAAAGAGTGAAGTTGTTTCAGAGGCAAGTCATATTATCAATACCCATTCCAACCTACGCAAGATCGATTTAACTGAAAGAGGAGCCATTAAACCTCCAAAAACAACTCTATGCCAACAAACCACTGTTTGGGGATAGAGGCAGTGAAGCAAGTGCCGAAGTCGAGCACGTCGTCAAATGAGCAAATGGAGCAGTCATACACATAACAGTATATTCAATGTATAGATAAATCCTATCTGAGAAATTGATATACAACTTAGCTTATTAGGTGATTGCCCCCCCC